TGTAGATAGGCCTAAATGTGAAAGGTAGAACAATTAAAAAGTGGGGCAAAATAATAAGTAGTAAATAAATGAATAATAAAAAGTGAAAGAAAAATAAAGATATCCAAATTGGAAAAGAAGTACAATTTTCATTATTCTCAGGTGAAATTTTTCTCTACGTAAAAAATCTTAACCAATTCTTATAAAATTGATATACAAAAATCAACTGTGTTTTCTATATATTAATAGCAACTAATCCAAAAATTAAGAAAATATCTACATTAAAAATAGTATAGAGCCAGCCATGATGGCCTAGCGGTTAAAGTTAGGTTCGCTCAGCTTCGGCAGTCCGGGTTCTGTTCCCAGGCGTGGAACCACTCCACTTGCCTGTCAGTAGCCATGCCGTGGCGGCAGCTCACACAGAAGAACCAGAACTTACAACTACGCACAACTACATACTGGAGCTTTGAGGGGTGAAAAGGAAGAAAAAAGGAGGAAGATTGGCAATAGATGTTAGCTCAGGGTGAATCTTCTCCTGAAAAAAGAAAATAGTATAAAAATGCATAAAATATTTAGGAATAAATTCAACAAAAAACATCAAGACTTGACTGTGAGAACTGAAAGCTATAAAATTTTTCCAAGAAAAATTAGAGAAATTCTAAACATATGTAAAGATATACCTGAAGTGAACTAGAAGACTCCGTTCTTAGGTATTTATCCAGAACTGAGAAGTTATGTCCATACAAATCTTTCACTCTAGCAGCTTTATTCCTAGTAGCTGAACATTGCAAACAACTTAAATGCCCATTAACAAGTGAATGGATAAACAAAATGTGCTCTATCCATACAATGGACTATTGCTCAGCAATAAAAAAGGACAAGCTAATGATTTATATAACAATATGGATGTTTCTTAAAACATTATTCTGATTGAAAAAGAGACAAAAAAGAACATATATTGTATTATTCCAATTTTGTGACACTACAAAAGCAAATCTCATATATAGAGATACACAGCTGATCAGCAGTTCCTTGTGGCTGGAGGTAAGAGATAGGGGTTTCTTGGAAAGAGACTTTGGGGGTTATAGAATGTCCCATGTTTTGATTGTGGTAGTAATTGCCATGGAGCACATATTTGTCTGAATTCATTAAATTATACACTTAAAATGACCACAGCTTAATGT